CTAAAAAATGATTTGATTCTTAATTTACACCTTCAAATATTAAAAATCTTAATTTGTATTCTCAGTATTATAAATTGGTAGCAATATAGACCTGGTTCAAACTATTGTTCAATTTTTTCATTATAAATTGAAGCATGTGAGTTACAAGTGCTTCGGACAATGATTTATGGTGATGACTGAAAGATAAAAACTAAGTAGTATGTGCATGTGCTATGATGGCTGCATGTGCTTTTTCCTAGCACGGGCATTCATTCGAGTTCTAGATTTGTTAAAAGTGCTTCGGGCTGATGGGTGAAATATTGAAACTATGTGAATCTCTTTTATTCGGCACCTCGACAAAGGTTTTGAGAAAACGTTCATATGGGGAAGGGAAGACCCCAGGTAAGAGTGCGCTGGGGACACCGTGAAAAGGACCCTCCTGCGGTCATGGTGACTCGATGACCAGTCACGACCTTTGACCTCGGGAGTCCCCCTTTAACCTCGACTGTCATTCCCCTCCTCGAGAGCCGCATCCAGGCAACGTTCAAGAAAGCGTAACTTCCGTCTAATTAATGTTGAGACATGTAGCTCACGGTAAACGACCACTAGTATAGTTGTAGTCGAAGTAGTTGTAAGTTGACGCATATGTCAGTACAGTGCTAACCCCCATACAAGGGAAATGGTGAGCAGCCTTAAGACTAGGCAACGTGTTGGGCCCGGCCGGGCCAGCCCGACATTTTTTAGCCCATAGCCTACACATGGATTGTGTTTCTGGGCTTTGACTAGTAAATGGTCGGACCGGGCCCACCTGCTAGGAATTTTTAAAGCCATGGCCCACCCATGGGCTTGCCTATTGGGTCAAAAATGAGCAAAATACGGGCTAAGCCTTATGGCCCGTCCATTGGGCCTAAAATAGGCTTTTTATGTAAAAAAAATCAAAAAAGACATCGAAAAATTTATTTTTTATGTAAAAAATACAAAAAAAAATCAATTACACGAAATTTGGTATGAAAAAATAAATTAACAAAAAAATTATTCATATTAATTTAATTTAACAAATATTCATATAGAGGTACAATGTTATATTACAAATTGATTGGTGGATGAGACTATTTTGCATCACTACAAATTAAGTATATCTTAATTAGGTTGACACCTATACAATTGTCAATCATTTGTAAGTCTCAACCTATAAAAGTTACAGATCAAATATCAAGTAAATAATATAATTATGAAATGTAATCTAATTATCATATTGGGTTAACAGGCTTTTTAACGGCCCGCCAGGCCTCAGCCCTAAAAAACATTGCCCATGCCCTACTTGTCGAGCTAGTGGGCTACCCACGCCCTGTCTCGTGTACATTGCCCATGCCCTACCTGTCTCGTGTAGCCACCCATGAGTCCATAACCCAAAAATATTTAGTGTTGCCCACACCTATGATTCATGAAAATTTCCTTTTATATCTTTTTTTTTTTTTGGAAGGTAATTTGCTTTTATTTCATTCATCTTATTCACATATACTTTTTAGATGACATACAACCAATGGCACTTTGAGACATAATATGGAAACAAGGAGGAAGAACAATTGAAGTAGCAGCAATGTCAAGATTGTAGGGGCAACTCTTCCGCAATTGTAACCCTATGGGAATTTTTTAGAAAGAGATTAATTGTGAACGGCTATAATTAGTCTCATTTTTTTTTTATGTAAAATGACGTAATTACAATTTTTTTTGTTGTTTTTAATTACACCCAACACATATCAGGTTTTGGCCATTTGTGTTTAGTACAGTTTTAGGAATTAAATATGATTTTCAAAATTTACTTTGTATCATTTACTCTAATCGGTTGAAAAGAAAAAGATATTACTTTTGGTTTAAGTGCCCACATATTTATTCCTAACTCCAACCCTGCTACTCACCCCTTTGAGTACACACTTGGTATAAACACGTGTGTCAATCAAATTTAACCCCCTACGTGAATGCGAATCTTGGTCGTAATTTCCTTGTCCAACAACTTTCATTCCTTAATTGATTTTTAATTTCCGTGACACTTAGGTGGATTCTTAAATATATAAATAAATAATCTGTTCTCCAGTTGAGCAATTAAATAAATTATAATTAAAGAAATAGTAAATACTTTTGAACTATATTTTCTCCAACTAACAGGCAATCTTCTGTGTGCCAATTGTGTGGGGAAGAGGAAGAAATAGTGAAACATTCGTTTCTATTGTGTCATTGGGTTAGTGAAGTATGGAGTGAATCGCCCCTAAGAATGGTGGTTAATAAGCAGCAAATTACCAGGATAGAGCTATGGCTGCGGCAGATGTGGACAAAGGATAAGGACGGAGGGAACAATAATCAGGCATTAATTAATAACCAAATAACAAGTACATCAATAATAGAACCAAGATTCTGGAGGACAAACGAAGCAAAACAAATGAAAACACCTCACATGAGCTTTCACCACTATTTAAGGTTGTGCTCCCGTACACAACGAACAATAAGACGACCGACCACCACCACTACGGGTACTTGTTGTACCACCACCACCACTATTGATGCTAGTACGGATACTTGTGCCACCACCACTACTACGGATACTAGTTGTCACACCACCACCACTATGGATACGAGTTGCACCACGACCACCATTACTGATGTTAGTACGGATATTAGTTGTACCACCACCACTACGGATACTAGTTGCACCACCACCACCACAACGGATACTAGTTGTACCACCACCTTCACTACTGATACTAGTACGGATACTAGTTGTATTACCACCACTGCTACGAGATGTACCACCACTGCCACGANGGCAATTACAGTTCAGGTAGAGCTCAAATTAGCTCGAATTTTAATGCGTAAAAAAAAAAATTTAATAGGCTCAATTTTTAATACATCAAAAAAATAAAATTTAATTAGTTTGAATCGAATTTTTATCGGTTCAAATTTTAATATATAAAAAAATAAATTTTAATCTACTCGAATTTTTATATATAGAAAAATAAATTTTAATCAAATTTTATGTAGAAAAATTGTTTGAATTTATGTAGAGGTAATTTTGATATTTTAGATGAATTTTTTTTTTTGGTTAAAAATGGTGGTTTAAAGACAGGGGATGTCATTTGATGAACCAAAAATTAACTGGGTCAAGTCCAATTTAAATAAATCAAGAAAGCCCAAAGAAGATCCCCACTGAATCTGGGTCGACCCATCAAGAGGAAAACCAAAAGAACATCAAGAAGCCAACGCCCAAGAGGCCGACATCAAAGAGGCGAACGTCCAAAAGGTACAAGAGGCTAATACCCAAAGCACCAAGAGCAAACGCCCAAGCACTTGGGGCGTCACCCATGGCCCCCTCAACTGTCCAAGCACTGCTCATTGCTCCTCACTTTATCATTTCAATGCAAATTCAAGATCACTCTGGGTCCAAATCCAAAATCAAGTATGAGCTCAGTCCAGTTCAGGATCCTCCTCCAAAAAAATAGGAGCACAAGAGAAAAAATATCGGAATAGGCACGAAAATCTCCTACTGTAACTGTACTTACTAAAACAGTAGCAGGCTTCCTCCTCACGTCACCGCCTTATCACATCTATATAATGTAAGCCCTCTCCATATAGAGGACATGCTCTCATAGTTTTGAGATCTCTACACACATTACACATTCTTACACACATTATTCTCTCTCTCTTTCTCTCTAAAGCATTGTAATATTCTTGGAGATTACTCACTCCCGTGACTTCACTCATTAATAAAAGATTCAGGCCACAGCTATCGTTCTCGAAAGTGGAGTAGGTCATCCGAACCGAACCCTATAATTCTCTGTGTTGGCTCTTTATTTATAACTTTACCATTAATTGCTTGATTATTGCTCATTAATTGCCTCTGTTCATATTATTGACTATTGATCTTGCGTAATATTGATTTGTGCATCATCATCATTGATGTTTAAATATAAACTATATAAAAGGTATTAATGATGTTTCGAATAATATAAGAAATTTCCTACAAGATATATAAACTAAAAGAGATGTCCTTTCAAGTTTTTGAACTTGGGTCACACAATTCAGGGTAACTCGAGTGGAAATCGGGTTTTTCATTCATCAAAACCAAAGGTAGGTTCAATTTAGTGTTCAACCTTAAAATTGAACCTATATTGTAGTAGTCTTTCATTAATCAAAAGTAACTAGAAAACAAAAAGAATAAATTCCACATTTACAATAAGATTAAAATATCAATTGCTTTTGCCAAACACCGTTAGGAGTGTTCAAATTTTTAATTGGCCGTAATTTCCTACTCTACGCTACCTTACTGAATGGCTAGATGCAAAAATCAAATAGGAATGCAGAGGAGTTTTTAGTCTTCCAATTAAATCAAGTAAGAATGCAAACTACTCACTAATTTTCACATTTCTACCCTACCCTACCTGCAAAAAATATATTTAACTTTTTTATATTTATTTAATAATTATAAGAGTATTTATGTGGTATAATTTATATTATAACATTGTTATTATTATGGATATTTGAGTTGCTAAAATATGTACTTGTTTTTTGTGTAAATTACATGATTTGTGTAAACTGGTCATTTATTTGAGTAGTTATGATTTTAATGTATTTTATATAGTTTAAAATTAAAATAATTGTTATTGTATTTGTGTAACAATTATAATTGATTGATATTCATGTTTGATTGTGTTTTATTATAATTGTTGTTGTTGTTGTTGTTTTAGATTTTAATGTTATTGATTTATTGTGTTGTTAAATTGATGTATGTTATTTAATTGAATTATTAAAATGATCTAAAAATTAATAATTACAAAAGTGTTTGTTTGACTTTTTACCTGATTAATCGGGTAGAAAGTCGGGTAAGAATACTAAATTTGATCGGATAGGATAGTTCAAGAAAAAATTATTTCGCAAAGTATGAGTTAAGAAGACGAAAAATTATATTCCCTACGGGACGAAGACCCTAAACACCATGATACTCCGGTTAGACTAAACAGTCACCGAAGATGAATCAGAAACTTGGAGGATGGGGGCTTCCCACAGCCACTGCATCGTTGGCCTGGTCATGCGCCGTCATCTTTGTTTCGCTTCTCTCCGGTGCCTCCGTCGTCCACAGCATCTTCAAGCCAGACCTGGTGAGGGGTAACTGTCCCTATTACAGGTGATAATCCTGAAAAAAAAATTTCCCGTAAGCTGTTTGATAAAATGTCTTCGACATATTCAATATAGCTTTTTGAACTAGTTCATCACGAGTTACTGCTCATTGTGTTTGTATGTAGAATCCTGCTTCATGGGTTTTCAATGCCTATGACTCTTTTGATAAGATGTATGTGACGGTATGAACTAAGTGTATGTGTAATAGTGGTTTACTACAATAGCAAATATGATAAACTTGTGAGCCATCCAACTTTCTGGACGCTATATTTCTATAACCTGTTTGATAAAATGTCTCTTAGGAGCTTGAGTGTACTTGTCAAACCTGACGAGAACAATACTGGTTGGTTTTAAGTTTAATGGCCTTCGCAAGTCCTTTTTCTGTGGATACGTTCGAGTCTGTGTTGGAACCTACAGCACAAACCGGTTTGATTTCAATCTAATGTAGTGTTAGCATTGTAGTAAACCAGACAACAAAATGAGGAGAGACTTGAATTATACCAAGTCTACGAATTCCCAAACACCCCTTCGATTCAATATCATTGTCAAAAGATCATTTACGATCTTAGTTCCGTACATCTCTTACAATGGGATGAGTTAATCTCACTTTGTTCTATAAAAGATATTTCGATTTTTAATTTGCACTCTCAAATATTAAAAATTTTAATTTGTATTCTCAATGTTATAAATTGGTAACAATGTAAACCTGCTTCTAACTATCATTCAATTTTTCATCATAAATTGAATCACTTAAGTTACAAATATTTTGGACATTGATCCAGGGGATCACTGAAAGGTCGAAACTATGTAGTATGTCCACGTGCTATGATTGTTGCACATGCTTTTTCCCTTGCACGTGCATTGATTCAGGTACTACATGTATTAAAAGTGTTTCAGGCTAATTGGTGAAAGATCCGAACCATGTGGATCTCCTTTATTTGGCACCTCAACAAAGTCCTCGAAGAAAGGTCCACAGGAGGAAGGGAAGACCCCGGGTACGAGGGCGCTGAGGGTACCGCGGGCATGACCTCCCCTAGTCATGGTGCCGCGATGACTTGTCGTGGCCTCTGACCTTGGGAGTCCCCCTTTGATCCCCGACTGTCATACCCCTCCTCAAGAGCTACATCTAGGCAGCGTTCAAGGAAATATAACATTCACCTAATTAATGTTGGACACGTGCTCGCGGTGAACGATCACTAATATCGCCGCAATCAAGATTGTTGTAGGTCGACATTAGTGTCAGTACAACACTGACCCTCGTACAAGCAAAATGGCGGGCAACTTGACCTACCTGAATACTGTGATATAAGTACGTACATTATTTGCTCTTACTGAACACACTTCTATCTAGTCTGAGATAGATATCTTGGCTGGTGGGAGCGTTTACCCTCTCCACCTACCCAAAGAACATTTTATCCAATGGTGGGTCCCTTCATTAAAAGACAGGTCGAGTTCTACCATCAAATCACTTATCCTACTCACCCATTGAGTACACTTGATATAAACACGTGTGTTAACTTCTTTTAATCTCGACTTGGATGCAAACCTTGGTCATAATTTCCATTTCCAACAACTTCAATTGTTTATTGATTTTTAATTTCCGTGACAACTAAGTAGATTCTTAAATAAAAAATAAATAAAAATGTTCCCCAGTTGAGCAATCAAATAAATTATAACTAAAAAAATAGTAAGTATTTTTCAAATATGACGTCAACTATAGTCTCTATCTATTGTAATGTTAGCATTGTCGAAAACCAGATAACAAACTGACGGGAGACTTGAACTAAACCAAGTCTGCGAATTTCCAAACACGGTAACACCCACTCGATTCAATGTAATTGTCAAAAGATCATTTTCGTTTTTTGGTTCCGTCCATCTCTCCCAATGGAAATGGTTAATCTCATTTTGTATCCTAAAAAATGATTTGATTCTTAATTTACACCTTCAAATATTAAAAATCTTAATTTGTATTCTCAGTATTATAAATTGGTAGCAATATAGACCTGGTTCAAACTATTGTTCAATTTTTTCATTATAAATTGAAGCATGTGAGTTACAAGTGCTTCGGACAATGATTTATGGTGATGACTGAAAGATAAAAACTAAGTAGTATGTGCATGTGCTAAGATGGCTGCATGTGCTTTTTCCTAGCACGGGCATTCATTCGAGTTCTAGATTTTTTAAAAGTGCTTCGGGCTGATGGGTGAAAGATTGAAACTATGTGAATCTCTTTTATTTGGCATCTCGACAAAGGTCTTGAGAAAACGTTCATATGGGGAAGGGAAGACCCCAGGTAAGAGTGCGCTGGGGACACCGTGAAAAGGACCCTCCTGCGGTCATGGTGACTCGATGACCAGTCACGACCTTTGACCTCGGGAGTCCCCCTTTAACCTCGACTGTCATTCCCCTCCTCGAGAGCCGCATCCAGGCAACGTTCAAGAAAGCGTAACTTCCGTCTAATTAATGTTGAGACATGTAGCTCACGGTAAACGACCACTAGTATAGTTGTAGTCGAAGTAGTTGTAAGTTGACGCATATGTCAGTACAGTGCTAACCCCCATACAAGGGAAATGGTGAGCAGCCTTAAGACTAGGCAACGTGTTGGGCCCGGCCGGGCCAGCCCGACATTTTTTAGCCCATAGCCTACACATGGATTGTGTTTCTGGGCTTTGACTAGTAAATGGTCGGACCGGGCCCACCTGCTAGGAATTTTTAAAGCCATGGCCCACCCATGGGCTTGCCTATTGGGTCAAAAATGAGCAAAATACGGGCTAAGCCTTATGGCCCGTCCATTGGGCCTAAAATAGGCTTTTTATGTAAAAAAAATCAAAAAAGACATCGAAAAATTTATTTTTTATGTAAAAAATACAAAAAAAAATCAATTACACGAAATTTGGTATGAAAAAATAAATTAACAAAAAAATTATTCATATTAATTTAATTTAACAAATATTCATATAGAGGTACAATGTTATATTACAAATTGATTGGTGGATGAGACTATTTTGCATCACTACAAATTAAGTATATCTTAATTAGGTTGACACCTATACAATTGTCAATCATTTGTAAGTCTCAACCTATAAAAGTTACAGATCAAATATCAAGTAAATAATATAATTATGAAATGTAATCTAATTATCATATTGGGTTAACAGGCTTTTTAACGGCCCGCCAGGCCTCAGCCCTAAAAAACATTGCCCATGCCCTACTTGTCGAGCTAGTGGGCTACCCACGCCCTGTCTCGTGTACATTGCCCATGCCCTACCTGTCTCGTGTAGCCACCCATGAGTCCATAACCCAAAAATATTTAGTGTTGCCCACACCTATGATTCATGAAAATTTCCTTTTATATCTTTTTTTTTTTTTGGAAGGTAATTTGCTTTTATTTCATTCATCTTATTCACATATACTTTTTAGATGACATACAACCAATGGCACTTTGAGACATAATATGGAAACAAGGAGGAAGAACAATTGAAGTAGCAGCAATGTCAAGATTGTAGGGGCAACTCTTCCGCAATTGTAACCCTATGGGAATTTTTTAGAAAGAGATTAATTGTGAACGGCTATAATTAGTCTCATTTTTTTTTTATGTAAAATGACGTAATTACAATTTTTTTTGTTGTTTTTAATTACACCCAACACATATCAGGTTTTGGCCATTTGTGTTTAGTACAGTTTTAGGAATTAAATATGATTTTCAAAATTTACTTTGTATCATTTACTCTAATCGGTTGAAAAGAAAAAGATATTACTTTTGGTTTAAGTGCCCACATATTTATTCCTAACTCCAACCCTGCTACTCACCCCTTTGAGTACACACTTGGTATAAACACGTGTGTCAATCAAATTTAACCCCCTACGTGAATGCGAATCTTGGTCGTAATTTCCTTGTCCAACAACTTTCATTCCTTAATTGATTTTTAATTTCCGTGACACTTAGGTGGATTCTTAAATATATAAATAAATAATCTGTTCTCCAGTTGAGCAATTAAATAAATTATAATTAAAGAAATAGTAAATACTTTTGAACTATATTTTCTCCAACTAACAGGCAATCTTCTGTGTGCCAATTGTGTGGGGAAGAGGAAGAAATAGTGAAACATTCGTTTCTATTGTGTCATTGGGTTAGTGAAGTATGGAGTGAATCGCCCCTAAGAATGGTGGTTAATAAGCAGCAAATTACCAGGATAGAGCTATGGCTGCGGCAGATGTGGACAAAGGATAAGGACGGAGGGAACAATAATCAGGCATTAATTAATAACCAAATAACAAGTACATCANATAATTGTAACCTTATAATCTTATATGGGGCATTATACATGAGGGCATTTGAGTTTTTTTGCTCTATTATACCTCCATGAAATTTATACCGAGAATATTATACCATGGGGTAGGTGGTGTTGCTTAGCACCGTATACAAGGCATAAGAGTTACTGTTTACACCGGATCAGTACTATGACTCAGAAATTAATATCGAGTAAAAAATGTCAAACAAACAAAGTATAAGGTAGACCCCACGTACTATTTTCTTTATATCACCCCCTTATACCTCAAACAAATAGTCCCCAAGTTTACTATATACTATGTTACTTCAGTATTACATGCAATAAATCAAATGCTTCGATAAAGTAAATAGAATGTATGTGTGATCACCCATCACCATGTCATGATGTAGAATAAGTTGCACCAGATTATTTGGAGCGGGCGACCACGGCACATTGAAAATTTAACCAAAGACTACGAAGGAGAATTAGTCGCACAATGGATTGAACTCAGAATTAAGTCAAATTAGCGTCATTTGACAAGAAAAGGGCCAACGATCAGTTCTGATAACTATGCTATACATTATGTTTTTTAGACAAGTTTCGTCGTTTAAGTTCTCAAAATAATTTTTTTGTCGTTTTAAGAAATATTTCTAAAATTAATAATAAACCGTAAGAGATTTTCAATTTTTGTGTCGTTTGCTTTGTTGCTAGACTCTAAAACGCATGTGATTTTATGTTAAGTAGCTAGATTGTAGTTATTTTAGTAATTTTTATAAAATTAGTTATTTTATTATTTACATCCATTTTGAGGACTTTTTGGTCATCCATATATATTTTTTTTGTTGTTTTTAATTACACCAAAAACATATCAGCTTTTGGCCAGTTGTGTTTACCAGGATAGAGCAATGGCTACGGAAGATGTGGAGAAAGGATAAGGAGGGAGGGAGGAATAATCAGACATTAATTAATAACCAAATAACAAGTACATCAATAATAGAACCAAGATTCTGGAGGACAAACCAAGCAAAACATATGATAACAGCTCACACCAACTTTCGACACTATTTAAGTTTGTTGTGCTCCCATAGACTCGAACAATACGACGATCACCATCACCATCACCATCACCATTTCTATGAGATGTGCCACTTTCAACAGTACTTAAGGTTGTCGTGCTCCCGTAGACTTAATACGATGACCACCACCACTACGCATACTAGTTGTACCACCACCACCACTACTATGGATACGAGCTGCACCACCACCACCACTATGGATACTTGTGCCACTGCCACCACTACGGATACTAGTTGTACCACCACTACCACTACTATGGATACGAGCTGCACCACCACCACCACTACTGATGCTAGTACGGATACTAGTTGTACCACCACCACCACCACTGCGGATACTAGTTGTACCACTACCACCACCACCACTACTGATACTATTACGGATACTAGTTGTATTACCACCACTGCTACGAGATGTAGTACCACTGCCACGAGATGTATCACCATATTTCCCACTTGGATAATCGAAGAAAGACATCTTTATACGGTCACGGGTCAGCTCCACTGACTTCAAGCGTTCAATACCATTCACGAACTGGGCCATATTTGCCACCAAGCGAACTGGGTCAACGACAACAGCTTGACCCCGTGTATTTCCCACATCCACTTCTGACCGTGAAATAATCTGCAAATTCCGGTCATTAGCCGCGGCAGGAGCCCGAGGGTTGTGCTCTACCAAGAGCTCTGCTATTTTCCCAGCCTTCCTAAGCTCCCTTATTACGGTTTGAGGGTCTACAAAGCCAGAAACAGTAACTCTTCCTTGCTTTGCATCTATTATCGTTGATTTAGGCCATAGTCCTGGAATTTTTTGCATCACTTTGTCGATGTCTCTCTCACATCCATGGCAGCTGATATTTACCTTGAGAACAAATGATGAGGGAGCTACTCGTTCCATTGAAACTAGCCCAAAAAAACATCAAAGACAGAAAGATGTTAGTCAAAAGGCCNTTGTTGTTTTTAATTACACCCAACACATATCAGGTTTTGGCCATTTGTGTTTAGTAAAGTTTTAGGAATTAAATATGATTTTCAAAATTTACTTTACAGTAATCGGTTGAAAAGAAAAAGATAATACTTTCGGTTTAAGTGTCCACATATTTATTCCTAACTCCAACCCTGCTGCTCACCCCTTTGAGTACACACTTGGTATAAACACGTGTGTCAATCTTTTTTAACCCCCTACGTGAATGTGAATCTTGGTCGTAATTTCCTTGTCCAACAACTTTCATTTCTTAATTGATTTTTAATTTCCGTGACACTTAGGTGGATTCTTAAATAAATAAATAAATAATTTGTTCTCCAGTTGAGCAATTAAATAAATTATAATTAAAGAAATAGTAAATACTTTTGAACTATATTTTCTCCAAATAACAGGCAATCTTCTGTGTGCCAATTGTGTGGGGAAGAGGAAGAAATAGTGAAACATTCGTTTCTATTGTGTCCTTGGGTTAGTGAAGTATGGAGTGAATCGCCCCTAAGAATGGTGGTTAATAAGCAGCAAATTACCAGGATAGAGCTATGGCTACGGCAGATGTGGACAAAGGATAAGGACGGAGGGAACAATAATCAGGCATTAATTAATAACCAAATAACAAGTACATCAATAATAGAACCAAGATTCTGGAGGACAAACGAAGCAAAACAAATGAAAACACCTCACATGAGCTTTCACCACTATTTAAGGTTGTGCTCCCGTACACTACGAACAATAAGACGACCGACCACCACCACTACGGGTACTAGTTGTACCACCACCACCACTATTGATGCTAGTACGGATACTAGTTGTCACACCACCACCACTACGGATACTAGTTGTCACACCACCACCACTACGGATACGAGTTGCACCACGACCACCATTACTGATGTTAGTACGGATATTAGTTGTACCACCACCACTACGGATACTAGTTGCACCACCACCACCACAACGGATACTAGTTGTACCACCACCACCACCACTACTGATACTAGTACGGATACTAGTTGTATTACCACCACTGCTACGAGATGTATCACCACTGCCACGAGATGTATGACCATATTTCCCACTTGGATAATCGAAGAAAGACATCTTTATACGGTCACGGGTCAGCTCCACTGACTTCAAGCGTTCAATACCATTCACGAACTGGGCCATATTTGCCACCAAGCGAACTGGGTCAACGACAACAGCTTGACCCCGTGTATTTCCCACATCCACTTCTGACCGTGAAATAATCTGCAAATTCCGGTCATTAGCCGCGGCAGGAGCCCGAGGGTTGTGCTCTACCAAGAGCTCTGCTATTTTCCCAGCCTTCCTAAGCTCCCTTATTACGGTTTGAGGGTCTACAAAGCCAGAAACAGTAACTCTTCCTTGCTTTGCATCTATTATCGTTGATTTAGGCCATAGTCCTGGAATTTTTTGCATCACTTTGTCGATGTCTCTCTCACATCCATGGCAGCTGATATTTACTTTGAGAACAAATGACGAGGGAGCTACTCGTTCCATTGAAACTAGCCCAAAAAAACATCAAAGACAGAAAGATGTTAGTCAAAAGGCCGAAATAGGTATAATTGGGGTATAATTTCGTTACGCATCCAAAAGGCACGATGTTGATGATAATAACAGAAACAATAATTGATGAAGTAATCAATATAGTTATGAGTAGATCCCGTAATGGCGGAACCGGATTGTCATGTTTTGAACTATGTTGTTAATGATCACTACTGCGATTTTAGCAGCAACAATTAACAATGAAGATGGCGGATCTATATGCTTTAATCAGTAGGCTTAAGAATAAGATTACAAATCTGTCAGATTTGATGACACACAAGAACAATGAAATAAAACTAATGACCATAATTACAAAACTGTAAAGAAACTTACTATAAGACGACGGATTGTTTGTTCTTCGTGTTCACAACAAAATGAAAATCGGAAGGCTATCGAATTAGTAAGTTTGTAAAACAGTTGAAGGGTATTATTTATAGAGGGGATACATGAAGGGTATTATTATGCTAATCAAAATTAGGGACCAAATAAAGAATTTAAATAACATGGTATTTTATTTGGAAGACTGATTAGACAATAATCAGCCTTCTAAATCAGCTGTCATATCATTTAGGCTCTTTATTAAATGACATATCAACTGATTTGGAAGGCTAATTAGGTTGTTATATCATTTAGACTCTTTATTTAGTCTCTAATTTTGATCAGCATANGAACCGGATTGTCATGTTTTGAACTATGTTGTTAATGATCACTACCGCGATTTTAGCAGCAACAATTAACAATGAAGATGGCGGATCTATATGCTTTAATCAGTAGGCTTAAGAATAAGATTACAAATCTGTCAGATTTGATGACACACAAGAACAATGAAATAAAACTAATGCCCATAATTACAAAACTGTAAAGAAACTTACTATAAGACGGATTGTTTGTTCTTCGTGTTCACAACAAAATGAAAATCGGAAGGCTATCGAATTAGTAAGTTTGTAAAACAGTTGAAGGGTATTATTTATAGAGGGGATACATGAAGGGTATTATTATGCTAATCAAAATTAGGGACATGGTATTTTATTTGGAAGACTGATTAGACAATAATCAGCCTTCTAAGTCAGCTGTCATATCATTTAGGCTCTTTATTAAATGACATATCAACTGATTTGGAAGGCTGATTAGGTTGTTATATCATTTAGACTCTTTATTTAGTCTCTAATTTTGATCAGCATAGCATTACTGAATGAAAAAATGACAACTAGGGTCCACCTTGGAAATGAAATTGTTGTTTGACGCTTGTAGCATGAAAGTTCATTTACGTTTCATACATCTTTGAATCCTCAAACTTATCTCTTTTTGTCACTAATTCTAATCTTAATTGTTAAGAAATACCATTGCATTGACCTTTGTTGGTCTAGAGAAACAAAGTAAGCTAAGCATTGTTGGAAATTTCTAACTAATTTCTCCAATCAAGGGCGGAGCCAGAATTTTGTTTATTCCGGGCTAAAGTAAGCATTCATACAACTAACAAAATACAAATAATTTTGAATATATTATGTGGTATAAGATTTAGGTGGTATAAGATTTTATATTCATTCCACTCTGAACCAATGGTATATTATACCCGGTCTTAAACTATAATCTTATATTCCCCTTGTTTGTTTGTCACAAACATTATCTGTATAATACCTACTTAAAAACATCAAATATTGCAACTATTCAATGTAAAAAGACAATTGTAACCTTATAATCTTATAAGACGGATTGTTTGTTCTTCGTGTTCACAACAAATGAAAATCGGAAGGCTATCGAATTAGTAAGTTTGTAAAACAATTGAAGGGTATTATTAATAGATTGGATACATGAAGGTACACGGTATCTTCGTGGTAATTTCCTTTGACTATTTTTGATTTCTTATTGAGATGCAGCTTCCTAGAAATTAAGCCGTTTGGATTGAAAAAAAAAAAACAAGTTATCTATCTATACTATTAATAAAAGTACTTTAACATAAAAACTTTAATTTACTATTTTATCCTATTAAAAAATTAAAAAGGTCACTCTATCATTTCACTCTTAATATCTAAATTACCATCATATCTCTATGCATTTAAATCTATAAATTACATCTAAGATCACTTTTAGTTATATATTCTTTATGTATAAATGTTAATTTTTGTGAAACTTTTTGATTGATTATATTATTCTTAAAAATATATATGTATAATTATAAGTTTTATTTGTAGTATAGATATTCCATATGTATGAATATCAATTTTATGAAATTTTTTGACCAATTATATTACTCTTAAAAAATATATGCATCATTATAAGGTTTAACAAAAATATTCAAAAAATTAAATATATGTGCAAATCGAATAGAAATGCGAAATTTTTATGGGACCCGCAATTTTCCGACATACTAAAATTTTTTTCATTGGCTAGTCAAGAAAGGATGCAGGTCGAGTGGGCGAAATTTTTGACAACCCTATTTTTTTAAGGTAGGCGGCTGATGTATACTTTAATTACCAAACATATAATAGAGTAATANGGTTTAACAAAAATATTCAAAAAATTAAATATATGTGCAAATCGAATAAAAATGCGAAATTTTTATGGGACCTACAATTTTCCAACATACTAAAATTTTTTTCATTGGCTAGTCAAGAAAGGATGCAGGTCGAGTGGGCGAAATTTTTGACAACCCTATTTTTTTAAGGTAGGCGGCTGATGTATACTTTAATTACCAAACATATAATAGAGTAATAGTAATTATAATCTAGCTAGAAGGTCGGTTGTTTCTCCAATTAATGAAAAATAATAATGTTACGCTAATTAAAATTAGGGACCAAATAAAGAATTTAAATAACATAGTATTTTACTTGGAAGACTGATTAGGTAATAATTAGCCTTCTAGGTCAGCTGTCATATCATTTACGTTCTTTATTAAATGACATGTCAACTGATTTGGAAGACTGATTAGATTGTCATATCATTTAAACTTTTTATTTAGTCTTTAATTTTGNGTTGTCTCTCCAATTAATGAAAAATAATAATGTTACGCTAATTAAAATTAGGGACCAAATAAAGAATTTAAATAACATAGTATTTTACTTAGAAGACTGATTAGGTAATAATTAGCCTTCTAGGTCAGCTGTCATATTATTTACGTTCTTTATTAAATGACATGTCAACTGATTTGGAAGACTGATTAGATTGTCATATCATTTAAACTTTTTATTTAGTCTTTAATTTTGATTAGCATAACATTATTGATTGAAAAAATGACAACTAGGGTCCACCATGGAAATGAAATTGTTGTTTGACGCTTGTAGCATGAAAGTTCATTTACGTTTCATACATCTTTGAATAATTGCGACTTGTAAACAAACCTAATCTCTAGATGCAATGTATCGAGACGTACACGTCTTCAAACTCATCTCTTTTTGTCACAAACTCTAATCTTAATCCANTAATTGTGACTTGTTAACAAACCTAATCTCTAGATGCAATGTATCGAGACGTACACGTCTTCAAACTCATCTCTTTTTGTCACAAACTCTAATCTTAATCCATGTTTACTGGGGCTTAAGCCTTAAGGGTTTTGAGAAATTGGGCTAATGATTAGTGATTTAGTAGGTTGATGCTGGTAATCTTACATGAAAGTGATAATTTTTTCTTTTTACTCTAGGCTTCAGCCGACTAATAGATCCGTCCCTATCTCCAACTAACGCATAATGATGTCTACTCGTTTTACAATAAAAACATAACCATTGACTAAACTTGTCAAGTCTTTTCATGTTTTTTCTCTAACATTAGTGATTTTCCTGTCTCAAGGGTATATTTGTTTGAGGTATAGGATTTAGGTGGTATAAGATTTTATATTCATTCTATTCTGATTCAATGGTATATTATACCCGGTCTTAAACTATAATCTTATTCTTCTCCTTGTTTGTTTGTCACAAACATTATCTGTGTAATACTTACTTAAAAAAATCAAAAATTACAACTATTCAATGTAAAAAAATAATTATAACCTTATAATCTTATATGGGGCATTGTACATGAGAGTATTTGAATTTTTTTACTCTATTATACCTCCATGAAATTTATACCGAGAATATTATACCATGGGGTAGGTGGTATTGCTTAGAACCGTATACAAGGCATAAGAGTTTTTTTTTGTCGTTTTAAGAAATATTTCTAAAATTAATAATAAAACGTAAGAGATTTTCAATTTTTGTGTCGTTTGCTTTGTTGCTAGACTCTAAAAGGCATGTGATTTTATGTTAAGTAGCTAGATTGTAGTTTTTTTTAGTAATTTTTATAAAATTAGTTATTTTATTATTTACATCCATTTTGAGAACTTTTTGGCCATCCATATAAAAATTATCCCTCAATTGGAACATGGATTAAAAAAAATTGGATCCACCAAAGATAATTTAGTTTATACGTAATCATTAATCTAAAAAATAATAAAAAAAATCTCATGTTGCATTTTTATTTTTATTAGATGACCGAAAGGCGAGCTTTTGTTAGCCTCACAATTTATAATGGGAGGCACACATCTTTGCCCAAAGGCGCACTTGGCCCAAGTTAACTTCGTCTAGTCATTGGAAATCAAATAGCAGTTGAACTTCTTAAGTTTGTTAATGTTTTGTTCTTTGTCGTGTCTGACACGAAAGTTCATCTACGTTTCAAACATCCTTTGAATAATTGGGATTTCTTAACATTCAAGAGATCGTAAAAAAACATATTAAAATTGACCATAATCGAGATCTAGGATTTTTCTTCAAGAACATGTAATTTTAAATATAAATAATGTGTTTATTTAAGAAAACGATATAGATAATTTAATAGAAATCAAAACCGTTGTTTATCTATCATATAATTATGAATAGAAATCAAAAGATACATATACATAAAAATAATTTTCAATGAAAAGATTTAAAAAAACAAATTCTACCTTAATTCGTGAATAGTAGATCTTAACGTGTTTTAGTATCATT